TCTAACACTATACAGAAAATAATGAATTTTAACTGATCAGTAATCAGGAAATGTATAAGTATTACTCATTACAAGCTCATTACTGATTTTTGTCATAAATAATACCTTTTAATCATACTAGTATTGTGTATTATCTATAATTTGCCACAACCTACAACTCTACTGCTTACTATATTTTGATTCTGCTATAAACTGGTAACGTAAAATTTAGATATGACAACGCGCTTTACTCTCAATCATTATTGGTTTCACTATAGAAACTTCTCGCTTCGCTTTGAAGCTTACCGCCATCTATTGTACAGTTTGACAACTATCGGACGGGAAATAGTTACTGCCTAGTCCCCTAGATGGTGTTACACTAGGAAACGCGCGTTAAGCGTAAAGGACCGGTAATTAAAGTTTGTGTTAGAAGCAAAAAAACATATTTAAATTAGCCATCGCCCCCTAAACCGCTTCAACGCCCCCCAATCTTCTGTGTGCCCTTTACTGCCCCCCTATAGGCCTCCAGCACCCACAAGGGGGCGTTATCGCCCACTTTGAGAAAGACTGCTACTTAAGAACCACTGAAGAAATCTGCAAAACCATCAAGAATATCTGAGGGATTATCGATTATGAACTAATTTCGAAAAAATGGGATATTACTTTTATTATTATCCATCATCATAGTTACTCACACTTTTGTTTCTCCTTCTCTTGAGAATGCAGGAATGAACGATAGCCTTTTCTGTTCAGCTAAAAACTCGAAATCTTCTTTACATAAAAAGTCATGTTTGGGATGACGACAACCATAAAATAAAATGAGATTTTTCGGATTTGAATTATTTTCTACATATCGTTCAAACGCATAACTTCTAAAAGGAGCTACACCAGTCCCAGGCCCCACCATTATGACTGGTCTCTCCTGTAAAAAAAAATGTAGAAAACGGGCATATGTAAGGTTAGAGTTTGCTCACGTAATCCTTCGGGAACTTGAAAGAACCCTTTTTAATCCATGACGTTACGCTATCCCCACTTCTTAATCCCGCTAAACAGTTCGATCCCAAACCAAATCTCTCTTTCACTAGCTTTGTTTTATATCTAACTACAGCAAGTAGTATATGAACCTCGTTATGATGCACTTTATTACTACTTGCGATAGAAAACTCCCTGGGTTTTATAGGAGGTACTATTTCCAGAAGCTTGTCGAGGGTCAAGTTTTTTGTAGCGTTTGGAAAATCGCTCAATACTTCAACTATGTTTCTCCTGGGTTTGTATGTGTAGGAATACAAATCAGTTTGGCCCTCTGCTGTTGTAAATTCTAAACATTTTTCTCGCTCTAACTCACTATCCGTCAGCTGAGCTAATACATTAAAAGTATATCTTCTGGGTATTGCCATCAGATCAAAATACTCGCTACACAGCTGTTCAAATGTCACTTCATATTTCAATACTTCAGGTACAGGAACGTTCTGATCATTTTTACTGACTGCTATCACAGTTTCTGGAGGAATAATCACACCATTCGATGACAGTACTTTCTTGAACTCTTCCACCTGCCACGAAAGATTTTTTGGTCTGAAGACAAACACGTCTCCAGGAACATATTTCTGATTTTCACAGGCAAATTTTATTAGGCGAACGTCCTGAAAAACAAGTTTGTTTGAAAGTGGTCGTGAAAGTTGTTAAAAATAGAAATTCAATTGTGATACGAGGGAGGTCTAAAAAGTTTCCGATCTCAACATGAAGATGGCAGCACTTGTGAATAAAAGCTAGTGAATATGTGTGATGTGCGACAGTGAGTAGTGTGTGTCGAAGTACTCCTAGTAAATAGCTTGATTCGCTAAGAAAACGTGCTTTAAAAATTGTTTTTATCTTGGCAGACGTCTCCATTGAACCTCTAAGTATTTGTTACTTGAGAATTATTGAATTATGGTTATCACGAGAGAAATAAGAGATGAAAACCAAAATGCCGTGAATGAAGCATTCAGGCAATGTCTTAACGATGAGGTATTGATAAAAACATTGGTAGCCGGTGTCTTGGAGGCAGTAACAAAAAAAGTTGATGAGAAACAAGCGTAGATGGAACAAAAAATGGAGTTCAAACAAAACATGAATACGAAACGAAATAAAACATACAGGTTGTTACAATACAAAAATTGAAAGATGA